GAGCCGAGATCGCGCCATTGCACTCCAGCCTGGGTAACAAGAGCAAAACTCCGTCTAAAAAAAAAAAAAAAAAAAAAAAAAAAAAGCTGCTATAAATATTCATGTGGTTATGTGGACATAAGTTTTCAAATCAGTTGGGTAAATACCTAAGAGCATGTGGTAAGACTCTGTTTAGTTTTGTAAAAAACTACCCAACTTTTGCCAGGTGTGGTGGCTCATGCTTGTAATCCCAGCACTTTGGGAGGCCGAGGCGGGTGGATCACGAGGTCAGGAGATGGAGACCATCCTGGCCAATATGGTGAAACCCCGTCTCTACTAAAAATACAAAAATTAACTGGGCGTGGTGGCGCACGCTTCTAGTCCCAGCTACTTCGGAGGCTGAAGCAGGAGAATCACTTGAACCAGGGAGACGGAAGTTGCAGTGAGCCAAGTTTTTGCCACTGTACTCCAGCCTGGGCAACACAGGAGACTCCGTCTCAAAAAAACAAGAACAAAAATACCTACCCAACTTTTTTACAAAGGGGCTGTACCATGTTGCATTCTTCGCAATGTATGAGTGTTCCTATTGGTCTGTATCTTGTCAGCATGTAGTATTACCAATTTTTAGATTTTAGCTATTCTAATAGGTGTGTAGTGGTATCTCACTACACTAAATTGCATTTTAATTTGCAATTCTCTAATGAAAAATAACGTAAGGCATCTTTTCATATGCTTATCTGCCATCTGTTTATCTTCTTTGGTGAGGTTCAGATCTTTTGCTCATTTTTTTTTTTTTTTTTTGAGATGGAGTTTTGCTTTTGTTGACCAGGCTGGAGTACAATGGTGCAATCTTGGCTTGTTGCAACGTCTGCCTCCCGGGTTCAGATGATTCTCCTGCCTCAGCTTCCCAAGTAGCTGGGATTACAGACATGTGCCACCATGCCGGGCTGGTTTTGCATTTTTAGTAGAGACAGGGTTTCACCATGTTGGTAAGGCTCGTCTTAAACTACTGACTTCAGGTGATCCACCTGCCTCAGTGTTCCAAAGTGTTGTTTTCTTATTGTTGAATTTTAGGAGTTCTTTGCATATTTTGGAGACAAGCCCTTTATCAAATATGTAATTTGCAAATATCTCGTAGTATGTAACTTGTCTTTTCATTCTCTTAACAGTGTCTTGCAAAGCAGAGGTTTTCAAAAAATTTTGTAAACTCCAACTTACCAACTTTTTCTTTCACAGACTACTGTTGGAGTTGTAGTCCAACAATTCATTAACAAAGCCAAGGTCATGTAGATTTTCTATGTTTTCTTTAAAAAGTTTTAAGTTTTGTACTTTACATTTAGATCTAACTAAGATTATTTTAACTCTTAAAAAGACATGGAAGTTCACCAACGGATGAATGAACGAAACATTATATACATCTGTACAATGGAATTTTAATTGGCAATAAAAGGGGCCGGGCACGGTGTCTCGTGCCTGTAATCCCAGCACTTTGGGAGGCCGAGGCGGGCAGATCACGAGGTCAAGAGATTGAGAGCATCTTGGCCAACATGGTGAAACCCAAAGGAATGAAGTACAATATGGAAAAACCTTGAAAACGTCATGCTAAGTAAAAGTAGTAATACCCAAAAGACTGCATATTCTATTATTCCATTTATAGGAACTGTCCAGAATAGACAAAATCTATAAAGGCAGAAAATAAATTAGTGGTTGTTAGGGCCTGTGGAAAGAGAGGCTGGGAAACAAATACTAGTGCCCACATTTTGGGGTGATGAAAATGTTCTAAAATTAGGACAGCCGTGATGGTCGCAACAACTCTTACAGTAAAAACCAGTGACTGCAAATCCAGAGATTTTACACTTTAAAAGGATGAATTCTGTAGTGTGAATGATAAATTATATTTCAGCAAAGCTGTTATTCAAACATAAAGGTATAGAAGGTAGACTGGCAAAATGAGGCTACGTGATGGATACATGGGGATTCATTATATTATTTTTTCTACCTTTGTATATATTTGAAATTATCCATTAAACAATGCGGAAGGGAAATGCTATTCTAAATGAGAGAAGTGGTATGGCATAAATATCATTTGATAAAGAAAATCACTAATGAGCATCAAATTCTTATAATTGATGTTATAACGCTTATAATTCTTGTTTTATTCAAAATTAAAAACTTGAAGTAACATATATAAGTGGATATTTGAGGAAAGATCTACTTAGTGCCACAGACTTAACAGCTTTGAAATGATAAAATTTGAATTATAGCTTTAATCCATTTTTCTTTCTTTTTAAAGACTCAATCTTGCTCTTGTCTGCCAGGCTGGAGTGCAGTGGTGTGATCTCAGCTCACTGCACTTGCCTCTGGGGTTCAAGCAATTCTCCTGCCTCAGCGTTCCCAGTAGCTGGGATTACAGGCGCCTGCCACCACGCCTGGCTAATTTTTGTATTTTTAGTAGAGATGGTGTTTCACCATGTTGGCCAGGCTGGTCTTGAACTCCTGACCTCAGGGGATCTGCCTGCCTCAGCCTCCCAAAATGCTGGGATTACAGGCATGAGCCAGAGTGCCCGGCCTATAGCTTTAATTCTTGTGAAATGTGCACTGAAGCAGACTTTATTCTAGGGGAATCTCAGTTCCTGGGATGTGTACATCAGTGAGGTTAGGGGCAGATGTCCCTCAGAAAGCCAGCTCTGAAGCAGAGGTGGGACAGGATGAGCAGGAGGAAAAACACACGTGTACTGGAAGAGAAGCTCCACCAAGGCAGGGATCTTTCTATGACTTGTTCATTAATGTATCCCAAGCACTCAGTGCTGGCACACAGCAAACAGTTTGTTGAATGAGAAAGCTAATATGTCAGGATAAAGTAAATTATCTTACACATCACAAAATCTGGGAAAAATGTTCACAGTTCCAAAGATTCTTCACAGAAGACAGTAAAATAGTTTTAGATTTTTGAGTGGGTGAGAAATCAAGAACTGTGCAGGGACAAGTCTAAGCAGTATCTCCAAACCAATTTAATCTCGTCTTAAATTTTTAAGTCTTTTTTGACCAGCTGTTCTAAATCATGACATAACTTCAAGAATAAAAACTTGAAGCAACATATGTAAGTGGATATTTGAGGAAAGGATTACTCACAGCTACAGACTTCACAGCTTTTATAAGCTTTTTACTTTCCAAATTCTTCAGAATTTTGTTGATTTCTGTTAATGGCAAGTTACTTTTATAACGGATATCTCTGCTCCATATTCCTATGAGAAAGTAAAGTAAAACAAGTTGAACTATAGTTTTCATGGATATTTCTTTTTTTCTTTTTTTTTAAGAGACAGGGTCTTGCTCTGTTGCCCAGGCTGGAGGGCAGTGGCTATTCACAGGCACAATCCCACTACTGATCAATATGGAGTTTTTTTGACTTGCTCCGTTTCCAACCTCAGCCAGTTCACCCCTCCTTAGGCAACCTGGTGGTCCCCCACTCCCAGGAGGTCACCGTATTGATGCCGAACTTAGTGCGGACACCCGATTGGCATAGTGCACTACAGCCCAGAACTCATGAGCTCAAGCAATCCTCCCACCTCAGCCTCCCAGTAGCTGGGACTACAGGCATGTGCCACTGTGCCCAGCAGTTTTCATGGATTTTTAATTTTATTCCTCTTAACTTCTACCTCATTCCAAAGCTAGCAGTATAAAGCTAACAGTAAAAATGAAATGATTTAGAGGTAAGAACTTTGGCTAAAGTAGCAAAAATATGCTAAATGATAAATAAATCTAATGCTTTATAAGACTTATTATAATGATTTATAATTTCAAACTAGAAATTTCTTGGAATCCCAGTGTGGCACATTTTTAAAAAATTTATGAAAAGGGCTGGGGACAGTGGCTTATGCCTATAATACCAGCACTTTAAGAGGCTGAGGCAGGTGGATCACCTGGGAGTTCGAGACCAGCCTGGCCAACATGATGAAACCTCATCTCTACTAAAAATACAAAAAAATTAGCCCAGCCTGGTGGTATGCACCTGGAGTCCCGGCTACTCGGGAGGCTGAGGCACGAGAATTGTTTGAACCTGGAAGGCAAAGGTTGCAGTGAGCTGAGATCAAGCCATTGCACTCCAGCCTGGGTAAAAGAGCAAGACACTGCCTCAAAAAAAAAAAAAAAAAATATATATATATATATATATGTATATATATATATGAAAAGGGCATTTTTTTAAATGGAAGGAAGAATCATGGCTGCAACTGAATTAACTTATATCATTGCCTTCCATCATCTTCTGTACCCTAATCTGTGTTTTCTGATATTTTCATTTCAGATTGTAAATGTGAAAAACAAATTTGGGTCAAAGTCAACTAACATCTTCAACTAGGACAAAAACACTCTTTAGATGAGTGTCTGCATGCACGTAACCCATTATTTATAGAACATTGTATCTGTGAGATGGAAAAGGAAGTCTAGGTTCTTATGGCTGCTAAAAGCCCTGTATGAGAAGCTATTATTTCTTTTTCAAATAAGTGGTTTTTTTTTTTTTTTGTAGAGACAGGGTTTCACCGTGTTACCCAGGCTCGTCTCAAACTACTGAGCTCAGGCAATCCGCCTGCCTCAGCCTCCCAAAGTGCTAGGATTACAGGCATGAGTCACTGTGCCTGGCCCAGAAATAAGTGTTATATATGGAAAGGGAATGTATGTAAATATTTTGCTTTATTTTCTTCCCAGTGTAGTGGCCTAATGAGATAGGAAGATTAAAAAAATATGCAGAATGGCTTTCTCATAGGACTATTTTAAAAAATGTTTAAAAATTTACATTTTAATAAATATAAGAATTAGTTCTATAATTTCCGATTATATCACAATTTTTCAAGCTAATATCAATGAATCAAATAGATCCTAAATTATTATAATTTAGGATTGCAATCTAGATACAGTCCTTCAAGTGGGTAGAAGAGGAACTGTAGCTGCTGAGGGACATCTGTTAAGACACTGCCACACCACACCAGCTTTCCTTTTGGTCCTTGTAAAAACGAGAGGTGTCAGCATCCACAGTTTATAGATAAGATGAAGAAACTGAAGCTCGCAAAGTTTAAGTAACTTGTCCATGGTCATATAGCTATAATATAAGGATTTCTTTTTAAAAAACTTAAGTTTTATTTATTTTGAATAGATAAAACATTCATGTGACTCAGAATTCAGAAGTCTTTTTCCATCTCTGGCCACACCCCTCTGGTTCTTGTCTCTTTCAAGGCAACAGTGGCCTTACTCTTGGGTATCCTTCAAGCACATGCATGTTATATTTTTATGTTCTGTTCCCTTCCTCAACATACTCTTGTTCACCGAGCTCTACCCTGGGAAGCTGAGATCTGGGTCCCTATATCTAGTTCCAAAAACAATGTTTTTTTTTTTTCTGCCTCATCCTTCACATGCTTACCTTTATTTCCTGCATCCTCTATGATTTGATATACTAGCTTTTCTTGGTTATCTGATCCCTTCATTTTACTGCGGGGAACAAAGTAAAATTAATAAGGTACAGACTATAGGATAATCTAATAATCTACATCACTACTTAAACAAAATTAGCAGACAGGGTCACCACAGTGACATATTTACCAAAAGAAGAGGCTTACCTTAAAAAGAATGAGATAGAGCTGTGTGTACCAACATGTAAAGATGTCCAAGACACAGTAAGTGAAAAAAACAAGTTGCAAAACAGAATGGATAGCATGATTCCATTTGTGTTTAAAAAAAGAAAGAAAGATTATATATAAATATATAATCATCTATGTGTATTTTATTATAGTTAGAAGAAAGGCTATATACTAAATTATTAAAAGCAGTTACCTCTGGGAAATGGAATATATCATAGGCGGCATACACAGGACAGGTTTATGTAATTTTGTATTAGCTTTAATCTCAAAACATACATTACTTTTGCAATAATAAAAATTTTCTTAAAATTAGAAAAATAGGTACTTACCCAGCATTCTGAGAGTCCTTTATTCTATATAAAAGGCCTGTATTACTCCTTAAGAGATCCAACTGACCCTAGTTTTTAAGACAGTAGAAAACAGGAGTCAATTATTTTGGAGATATGTTAAATCAAATGACGAATGTTGATGCATTCTTTAACAGTCTTAATTTTTCAAAACCTGCTCTTTAATCTCAAAATTTTTCAAAATATTAATACTAACAATTTCCTGTATGCTAGATCTTGGCTTGGTTATATGATCAATGCATAAAGAATTTTAAAAAAGCAGCCTGAGAATAAAAATCTATATTCAAAATCAAATAAATCCAAATTACATATATAAAATAAATATAATAAAAATATAATTTATAGAAATAAAAAGTTGAAATAAAGGCTAAATAGGCATATTCTGTTGCATAGTGAAAAATAAAATTTATAAAGTTAATGGCTGGGCATGGTGGCTCACACCTGTAATCCCAGCACTTTGGGAGGCTAAGGTGGGTGGATCATTTGAGGTCAGGAGTTCGGGACCAGCCTGGCTAACACGGCGAAACCCCGTCTCTACTAAAAATACAAAAAGTAGCCAGGTTCAGTGGCACGTGCCTATAATCCCAGCTACTTGGCAGACTGAGCTGTGATCGCACCACTGCACTCCAACCTGGGTGACAGGACGAGACTCTATCTTGAAAAAACAAAAAACAAAACGAAAAAGGTTAATAGTGACATTTACTGATGTTGGCCAATGAATAAAAGGACTAGAGTAGTATTGTTTTTATATAGCAAATCAAAAGTAAAATAATATCTGTCATGCTCCTGAATTTCCTTGGGTTCAAACTTAAGAGAACCCAGAATGTTATACCATTAGGCTCTGGAAGTTCTAGAAAGCTATAGTTGAAAGGGAAAACCATTCCCTCATTTATTTATTTATTTAGAGACAGAGTCTCGCTCTGTCGACCAGGCTGGTGTGCCATGGTGTGATCTCGGCTCACTGCAACCTCTGCCTCTTGGGTTCATGCGATTCTCGTGCCTCAGCCTCCCAAGTAGCTGGGATTACAGATGTGTGCCACCACGCCAGCTGATTTTTGTATTTTAGTAGAGACAGGGTTACGCCATGTTGGCCAGGCTGGTCTCAAACTCCTGGCCTCAATGGATCCGCCCGCTTCAGCCTCCCAAAGTGCTAGGATTACTGGCGAAAGCCACCGTGCCCAGCCCATTCCCTTGTTTTAAAACAGACACTCATGACTTGGAAATGGATTTACGTACTGAATGAACGGTGACACAATCCCTCTGTTCCCTGACCCCACAAAGTGGCAAACTAGGACTGCAAGGCCCAATCCAGAGGCTCTATTTGATCATTTATCCAGCTTATGAATATCTGCTGAATACTTGTACTGTACTAGCTGTTATGATAGGTATTTGGGGGAACATCATAGATTCTAAAAGGGAAGCACACAGCTG